AGCAAATTGGCGACAAACGCCCACTCAATACTCAGAGATATGGTAGCCAGATAAGATTTCAGTTTCAACGGGCTATGGCAACTCAGCACCCGAACAACCCTTTGTTTGCGTACACCGGATCACCCTGGATCCCGCCGGATGTCCCGTACTCACGCACGGATAGCGGCACGTACACAGTGGGACTCACACAAACACTGTGACAGACACACATACACAGTGTCCCGCACACTGATACAATTTCACATACACGGTGACACAAGACACAGTCACAGTGACATAAACGCGGTGACATACGCTGTGACGCACATACAACTGAGACACAGAGTGACACAGTCACACGCACAGAGTAACGCAGTCCTGCACATACACAGATATACGGTGATATAGAGATACACAGTGACACTGAAACGCACACAGTGACACTTGAAACACACACAGTGACACTGAAAGCACTACACCTGCAGCCACTGCACTCCCTAGGCATGTGCAGACCGCCGTTGCACAGCCTGCTGTAGCAGCGCTTCAGCTTGGCTTACGCAGGAATGAATGGATGACTGGTCGCAGCCTCTTGGTTTATGCTTCTGTTAGGTACCGGCCTRCCCTTTCCATYGGCCCGTGGTGCGCAYAGTCCCTAATGGTACKTGCTGGACTGGATTGGGACTGCTTGTCACTGTACTGCTGACTGCATGGGGATGTACCGGCGACACAGTGCAGTCGCACTGCTAACCTACTGGGTTAGCCTCACCACTAACACACTGCACTCTCCGGGCGTCTGCAGATCACCATTTCCCAAGCCACTGTAGCAGCGTTTCTGCATGGCTCACGCAGGAATGAATGAAAGGCTGGGCGCTACCTCTTGATTTATACTGCGGAAACTCGTTGGTCTGCCCTTTTGCCATCGGCCCATGATGCTCGCAGCCCCGTGGTACTTGCTGGACCGGACGGGGTCTGACTAGACCTTACCGCTGACTGACTGTGGACTCACTGCTAACCTGTGCAATTGCACTGCAGTTTAGTCCACCACTTGACTCGCCACTTGAGTACTTGCCCACTTGCAGACCTTCCAGAAGGGCTACAACTAGACTTCTGGAACTCGCTAAGACCCCTACTCTATAGATCTACAGATATAACCCCTGCTGCCTTTGGACCTATGACATACCTACCAACTGTGTATGAATACATAGGTCACAAATTCAACTCTCGGGGACTACACAGATGTTGTACATGGGTAGGGTGAGGTCTAGGGGATCGAGTCCTGGATCTACATCAGCTACTGCAAATGGTGAAAATCCGTTTCATTATTATTATTATTATTATTATTATTATTTCTGGAATTTGACTTGCTTTCTTCTCACTTACATGCATGCGGACAGACTTCACACCCCGCTACTCGGATGATGAGGGTGTATGCATGGTCTGCATTACGAACATTTGATTGGTCTGATCATTGGTATTTCGGTCTTTCGCTGCGCTACCCTGTACTATGTAAAGAAAGGTCGGTTCTTGTTTTGGTCTGCACCATTACGGTAGAGGACATACGCCATGTCACACAGATACGCAGTGACGCATACGTGGTGACAATCACAAAGTGACACGCACAGTCACGGTAACGTACACAGTAACAAACACCGTGACACACAGCCGACTGTGATGTATACAGTGGCACATACACAGTATCACACAACGCAGACACAGTGTCACACTTGCTGTGACGCAGATACAGAGTCACATAGGTGCACAGTGACACACACAGTGTGGCACACACACGGACAATGTGATCCACATAGTGATCGGTGATAGACACACAAGTGCACAGTGAAACAGTCACACCCAAAGTATAGGGTCACGAACGGTGCACAGACACAGTGCGCGGTCACATACGCAGGCACTATAGGATAAACACACATACACAGTGTGACAAGCACACAGCCACAGTGACATACATGCACAGGCTGTGATCTGCACACGAATACTGTGACACACGCAGTCATAGTGACAGTTACATAGTGACATAGTGCGCAGACACTGGGGCCCGACCGGAAGCTACTTACTACTTCCCCGACCAGGCCCAAACGGTCCAGCAGCGGCAACATCTCCCATATAGGGAGGAGGCCAGCCAGTTCAGGGCATGCTGGCTGAGGCAGGCAACGTGGACATGCTGCTGCAATGCTGCACAGGTGTCTGCATGTGCGCGAGATGGCCTGGGGTGCGCTCGTAGGTGTTGAGTGGTGTGAGGCACAACCTTACAGTGGGGCGCAATGGTACAACGGGGCAGTAGTACAATAGGGCGCTTGCAGCCATAGGCGGACTACAACCCGCTAGGTAGAAAAGAGCGGCATCGAATACCGCAAGAATATGACCTGAAAGAGTTTGAACGTTGGCTCAGGAAGTAGTTATATCGCTCTCATTTGAATGAAATCTTGGTGTATTTCAGCTCTCTACTCGTTACATGACTTTCTGGACTTCCGCATGATTGATTGTGACTTAGACCTTTGCGTATCGCGTTCATTCATTTTCTTGTATTATTATTATTATTATTATTATTATTATTATTATTATTATTATTATTACTATTATTGTTATTTATTGTTGTTACTATTTCATTGCCTACACCGTCTGTTCTGATCTGATTGATAGTACAATCAGACATATGCATGTGAACCAGTACCTAGCTAGAGCCATTGCCTGGGTTCGCGCATGCGGGCCTAGAGCAAGTGTGAGTGCAGCTTGATTGATGAATGGATGTAGGATGGGTGACAGGATAAGGCCCAGGGTGAGGAACATCCTATTACCCGTCTCCACATGCATACATATCTTAGATAGTTAGGTTGATAGACTAGATGAGGGGTACTCCTGTGCGAGTCATCCCATGGTCTGTCTAAGTCTAAACTAGTTAGACTAAAACAAGTGGTGGGATACTCATGTCTGAGTTATCCTACTGCTTGAGTGAGTATGAAATGAAGACTTTTATCGAAGTTTTTTTGCTTCATACTTGCTTTTGATCGGACTATGTTATAGTCCACCAATAAAATTGAAGTTCACATTGCTGAACTTTGTGTGGGGCGATAGTGAGGGAAATGTTGAGATCTTGTGACCTGTGTGTGATTGCAGGTCATCTTACTCAAGAAGACTCATTATGAGTCTATACAAGTCTACATGTTGTTGCCTTATGGTAACAGGTAGGTTATCCAACTCAACCCTCACTCACCTTCTACACCCACACTTTGCATCAACCTTTGCACTAAATGGCATTTCTGTTTCGGGTCATTTGTCTAAAGGGTCTGTGTTTGGTCAAAAGAGGTCTTTGAATGACTAAGTCGAAAGAAGAATGTCTGGTTAAAAGGATTGGAAGCGTAAGTGTGATGTGTGTGAAAGTGAATGAATGGTTGACTCTGCTAGGATTGTGTAATGTGATTGACTCTTGTCTGCAGGTCAGTAATACGACCAGCCACATGCTATTCACGGCAACACACTGAGACATTTATGCTATCCTGGACCTTGATCCAGACATCTTGTCAGTGCGCGATTGGTTTGATTACCCAACCTTGCACCTTGCCCCTGATTGTTAGGAAGATTAGGATTATTGCTAAGGCGACAAGCCTCATTCATTTACTGATCTTTTCATTTGTTCATGCTTGAAAGGTCAAAGACCTTGTTTTCCTTGATGAATTCAGAATGTTTATGTGAAAGTGTTGTGTGTATGTGACATCTCCTCACCTAATTATTCAGCCTTATCTCATCTCACATGTATGTATGCTATGGTTAAAGGGTTTCATGGAACGTTATGTCGAATGGACTTAATCAATAGGTAGGATGGGTATGTCTCTTATGAGCAACCCCTGATAGTTTAAGTATCGAGAGGGGTCTTCCTTGAACATAGGATAAGCTATGAGTCATACCTATGGAGACTATTTATATTCAAAGCGTCGTATGCACGAACGTACGTCAGTCGAGTCGACCTGATTAGTAAGTCGGTCCGGGAGATCAGCGCCCCGATGCCCGAAGTGTATACGGGTCAGTCTTAGGCGTTCAACCGCGCGTATGCCTATGCTACGGAGATCGAGAAAACGCCCTCGGCTGGCCTACCTCTGCGATTGCATGTCAAAGCCTTCACATGTGGGTCAGTAGCTCAGCAGGGATACACCCACCTAAGGGATGGTGACAGCTCCCGCAGGTGGAGGTATGTTGTACCTCGCGGGATCCCTAACCTGTCGTAGGGAGCCGCGAGAGTTATAGCACGCGCGCACGGTCGGAGTTGGTCTTTACGCTGAAACCCTTATAAAACTCCTGCGTCATACGACCGTGAGGTCCGACACCAAAACCTACTTTACGTCTGGGTGTGGGACCGTCGCGCGCGACACCGGGGTCTGCCTTCGATGTAAGCACCTGCATACCACAGAGGCAGGTCCATCCCGAGCTCCAGAGTGTGCGCGCAAATGACGGGGCTGATGACGTTGCTTCAGTCCTCTCCGAGCCACATCGCGCGCGCGAAGTCCGTGGCCACCGATTCGAGGAGGTACTGGAAGGAGAGAGTATACCCCCTCTCCCTGCTTCCGGACTTGAAGACCCATCCGTGCAGAACACGCATCCCCACGTTCTGGCACTTCGACGCGCCATTAGTCGCCCCCTGCAACTGCGCGGAATCAGAGAGCCTCGTCACCGTGACGTTCGACCTCGGCAAGGCCACACTTCTCGGGACCTTCGGCAAAGGAACTCCTCTGGCGATGGCGACGAGGTACTCCCGTGCGTCATTCACAATGTTGTATAGCCTGCGGCCCTCCCCCGACGTTTAGAACGACTTGTCGTCCACCCATAGTTTCGCCCGATCAGCCAGCTTTTTGACCACTCCGCCTTTGAGGACCCTGTTAACAAGCGGCTCGTCGTCCGCCGCCGCCTTTCTCTTCTCCATGCGGGGGAATCTCCAATGCCCTCGCCGCCTCCTTTGCCTTCCGCCCCCTTCCTCCCGTTTCACGAGGTGTGCCCGCCGCTTCACCGACGACCGCAGCGGCGCCGCGAACCTGCGCCTGATCTCCAAGCATGGCCGCATCTCCTACACCAGCAGATCCTCAATCGCCGACTGCTTGTTGTACACGTGGCGTCACCGCACCGCCAGATCCTCGTTCGCCGAGTGCTTTTTGCACACGTGGCGTCGCCGCAAATGTCCCGGTTCCTGCATCCTCGCGATGTCTCCCTTGCGGCGTCGTAACATGTGTGATCTGGTCGTGCTCCATTCGCGCCACCTCCTCCATAGCGGCGTATCCCGTCTCGTTCTCGCCTTCGCCGTCATTTGGTCTTCCCCAACCGTCGCCGTCCAAGTGCGCGCCACTGACAGAACTCGCGTCCTGACGTGATCGTTTCGTCCTCGTCGTGTGACGTCCCCCACCTGAACCGCCCGCCGTCCGTTCAGTGACTGCATCACGTTTTTTGCCACGAGCTTGACCTCCGCCTCCTCGCCTCGGAGCCATTATCTGCCACCGTGAAAGCTGAAGCGGGAAGATGTGGCGCCGCCCGTCGATTGCCGCACAAGGGCACAGGGATGGATACGAGTTAATGAACTTCACGGTCGATGTCCACGTGGTGGATCGAAGCGCAGGCTGCTTGATGCGAAAAGACGAACGCGACTCAACAACGACAACCGACGATTGAAGGCGCGGTGGACGAGAGCACAGACGGTTGTGCCGCTTCCGAAAAACGACGGCCCGTGGCGATGGCGAAGAGTTCTCTGATGACGACGACGCGCACAAAGCAGGCGGCGTGCACCAGCAGGCCTTAACTACAGCGTAGCTTCTGCAGCACTGCGGAGGGACTGGCAGGAGCGGACTTAGGTGGCACGAATTTGGCAGGATTGATCGACGACACACTGCGCAGACTGCGGTTAGCGTTCGCGGGCTGGGTTAAATAATGTGTCCGTGCACCATGGCAATGCGCACCCCAACCCC